GTAACTGAAAGACTGGAAGTCCTCCAATATGATGAGATGAAAGTTGCTGAAATGTATGAATATGATACACAGCATGATCGTCTAACAGGACCGCATTCGCAACTGCAAAATGTAAATGCCAGAAGTTCATTTGTAAAATGGAAAACTCCTGTTTTTGCTGATTCTGATCAAAGAATAACACCAGTAATTCAACACAATATATTTAATGCATTACATAATGTCAGTTTTAAGATTGCCTGTGTAAGTGATTGTGAGCCAACAAATATTTCATTGTGGCGCAAATTAGGTGTGAATCATGAACATCCATTTATAACTCAGCAATTAACAGGTTCTCATATTTATTTTTTTGCCGATGCTCCACATCTTTTGAAATTAATCAGAAACTGGTTGTTGGATTCAGAATTTTCATATAAGGGCACTATTATAAATAAAAATATATTACGTGAATTAATTTCGTCGAACGAATCAAAATAAGCAGCTTTTTCAAATTGACAATGAATCACTTGAGTGTTGAAGGGCCAAACAGACAAAACGTGCGTATGGCTGCAGAATTATTGAGTCATACAACCGCAACAGCTCTAAAACATTATAACCCTGATGACGAAACTGCAATAGCAACTTCAGATTTTATCGATCTTGTTAATAAATGGTTCGACATACTGAATTCATACAAAACCGATCATGAATTAGTTGTTAAATCAGCCTACGGAAAGAGCATAGATGACCAAAATGAGATCCTTGATGAAATAGATAGATAGATAGATAGTTTATTGTGTTTAGAAAAATACATGTTTCATCACAAGGGTTCGTATTATATGCGATCATGATTATGCATTAACAGTGACTGATCTGAGTGAAATGAATAAAGTGAAGAGAAAAAGAAAATGGAGCTAGAAAAAAAAAACTACAAAAAAAACATTGTTTCATAGTTATACAAATTCCCATATGTGCATACCAACATATATAAGTTTATTTATACCTACCTAAAGCCTTATAATCGAGAGAGTACTAAAAACAATCCCCAATAGCTTGAAATTCAATCATTCATAATGAATGCTCGTAACTTCATAATATTCATCAGAGACTGCACAAGCTTTGTTATTTATACAATGTTATGGGTGTTGAGTAGAAGTACTAGATCATCAATACTTCTAAATTCTGACAAAATCGCGTTTTGCCTCATGCCTGAATAGATAGGGCATTCAAACAAAATATGTTGCAGGGATTCAGTTACTTGTAGATTGCAAATTGAGCAAACTTCTGTAGGGTCAATAATGTAAACGGAACCATGAAATGAGAACATCACGGACTTTTTGCTACAAGTCCTGATTTGGGCAATAATACGCGTAATGTAAATTGGCGTGGGAACACTCAGGTAGGATTCTGATAGTTCGTAGACTGATAGGCCATTGTATATGAGCGGAAAGGAAGAATTCACAAGTCTTTCTGAGTCGAGAGATAATAGCTTTCGCTTGAATTTAGTCAAAACATCATCCATTAGTTTTTTTGATTGATAATTTAGAAAATGTTGCCATAGGTTTTCACAATCTGCAAATGAGAAGTATTCTGTCACCTGCAAAAGCCAATTAAATTTATTATCATTCTGCTCTTGAACTAGTAAACGTTCATAGCAAATTTTGGATAGTCTCGAGCTGTTCATTGTTTTCAATCTATTGAGCCAAGTTGAAGAGGATTTGAGTATTATGTATGATAATCCGAGTGACTTAGTTTCGATGCGCACAATATAATCAGGGGTATTTTTTGGTAAACAGAGTAAACGTTTGAAGAAGCGGACTTGAATACGTTCTATAACGTCTGCGTAACGAAGACCCCATATAGCAATACCAAAGGAAAATGAAGACAATATAATTGATTCGTATAGTTTCATTCTTGAATACCATGCATGAATTGATCTTCGAAGGATACATTAAATTCATTATAGATCCAATTGCCTGGTTAGCTTTAATAACCGTTTTCTTGGCCATTTCAAGAAACAAGGATGATGAAGAAAATTGCACCCCTAAGTAAGTAAAATTTTTAACGACTTCCAAGGCTTGGTCATCACAAGAGAATCTTAAGTTATAGTTATTACTATACCCTCCTCTGCAAAAAAACATAACTTTAGTTTTATTTGAATTTATATGGAGTTTATTTTCTGATGCATATTTTTCTAGAACTCTCAATTTACGAGCGAGATCTGGGGAGTCTTGGGGAGTCGCTGAGAATAACTATGTAACTTGATGAAATGTACAATTTTATGAGTACAACTTTATTCAAAGGGAAACGGGCTATTCAAACATTTCGAAACGGAATTCTCCTATCAATTCAAAGTCCTAGAAATGTTTAAATGCATATCTACATGAGACATACGAAACATCCTACATTTTAACCTCGATTTTAACCCATAGACTGAATCAGGACTCTTCAGAAAATTTATTTGGACAGCAAGAACCAGATGTGGCTTGAATGATCATCCTACACCCTTACATGCTTTACAACGACTGCGGATGATCATATTGGTAAAATCTACTAACTTAACTAACAAGTCTTATACTAATTACTTCCAGCTTATCGGACACCTACGAAAACATGGAATTCAGAAAACCTAATGGAACTGGGAATTTAGAGAGTCATTTAGAAAGAGATGGATCAAAATACTCAGCTGGGTGGATAGCCAGAAAGCTCAAAGAAACTCATCCTCATTTAGGCAGCTATACAAATAATTTTCCTGAAAAATATGAAAGTGATTAGGGGGTACCATCTTGAGTGATTCATTTATCATATGATGAAGAATTTAACAATTACATGTCAGAATATGGTTTGAGCAATAATAAAAAAATTACTTAAAAACTATTCAACAAGATGAAATACAAATATCCATATCATAATCCAAATGTTTGTTAAACAGCGAATATTCATAAGAATGAAGTTGTATCAAAAATATATAGAACGGAAATAGTGTAAATTTATGATAAATAAAATGGAGAAAATTGTAACCTGAAACTTGTGTTTCATTCAAACTCATGAATCAAGCAATAAAATATATATAGTTAATCTTTGGAAGGAGTACATGGTTTCTCAAAGTGTAGTAAAGTAGTAACTACTGAATACTACTGGGAATCATCTCCACGACATTTTAATATGATCAATAACGATCAAATAAATTGGTACGTCATGTTTCGGACATATATATGATCATCCTCAGCATGATTAAATTACTACATCTCTGTCATGGAAATGCAAAAAAGGTTTTTAAAGCTTGATATTAAAAAAGAAAAAAATGTTCCATTTTCTTGAAGATGAGAAACCCAACAACCCCAAATGGACACACTATTATGGCGGAAACCACCTAAGGTGACACCAGGAGGTGCACATCCTTATTGATGACATTAGAATGTGATTGAGATCATTTCAAGTATTATTTAGAAGTTGATAACATAGTTGTTTCACCAAAGAAATATATATTGACTCTATTAATTTTATTTTTGTCATCGATAACTGTCAAGAATTTATCAAAAAACATCATACAGAGAATTTATTCATTCAACTGAACTATTATTTTTTTCAACAACATCTATGATTCTATGACAACTATATATTTTGCCTTCTAGACTAGACATGAAAAGTATATCAATAATATTGACAGGTTTGTTTGAAGTTACAGTGTGTTCTATATATTTCAACACCCACCTCCAAACCTGGCAGTCTATAAAAATAGATTTTAGATTTTCAATTTTTCACATTCAACAATTTCAAAAATTTACTGAACTTATCATAACCTGAAGATTTGGTAAACACTTCAGCTAATTGTTCATTTGTACATATATAATCAACTTTAATAATTCCTTGACTGATCAAATCTAAAATGAAATGTAGTTTGACATCAATATGTTTACATCTCTTATTATTTTCAAAATTTTGAAGCAGTCCAATGGTACTTTGATTATCTTCAAATAACTGAATTGGAAGAGAAACATCAATTTTCAAATCATTTAACGAATTCTTTATGTGAATTCACTAACAAGATGCACGACAAACTGCAACAAATTCTGATTCAGTACTTGACAGCGTTACAATATTTCATTTTTTATAACTCCAACTAATCAAATTATCAAATAGTTTGACACAATAACCACTTATAGACTTTCTATTATTAACATCATCTGCCCAATCAGCATCACTATAACGAACTAACTCATTATCAGAATGATAGAAGTGCAATTTATAATCAATAGTTGATTCTAGATATTTCAATACTCTCAAAATAACCAACACTGAAGCAAATATCAGGCCATTAGCCCATCATGATATACATGAGGCTACCTAAAAGTTCTTTATAAGGTATTACAGTATGATCATTTGAATTAGAATTCCTCCCCAAATTCGAATTTATTTCCATGGGTGTTTTGACATTTTTACAGTTTTCCACAATGAACTTTCTGATTATATTTAGAATTGCTGAATTTTGGTCAAGAGTCATCGTTTATTTTCCGGATTTCTACAAATTCTTATTCCTAAAAAGTTATACTGGCTGCTACTATGCATTTTTCTAATCTTGACTCTCAAACAGCTTTTCTTTCATATATAGCTCATAAAATTATTGTCATTACAAGTTATCAGGATATCATCTACATAGAGGAGTAAAGGTCGTGACACAATGCGAAAAAATAAGGAACAAGAAATAAAGAATGAAAAATTCAGAACAGGAACAAAGAATAAAAAATCTCAACACATGTAACTATATTTTCTAACACACAATACATCATGAGGAATAAAGAATGAAGAATAAGGAATAATTTTTCCGTACATGACGGAATTTCTGTTCCTTATTCTTATTTCCTTAAAATATCGACCAATGAGGCAAGAGAATAATCTATCTCCATCTCTTGCTCACTTGAATGATCCCTCTCTTCTCATTATTATTAACCGAATAACCTCAAAATTTTGTTATCTGAATCTGAGTATTATTTCATTTCTCGGTTATTTTTGTTTGACCAAAAATGGATTATCACGATTATTGTTCTGACCGTGAAGAATATGCATTAATTGAATCAGTGGATGTAGATTCAGAACAAGCCACTACTCAGGAACAATCAGATAATTTGGAAGCTCTCCACATTATACAAAAAACAGGAGATGAACTCCTGATCGATATGATAAAATCATATCCTTTTCTATACAAGAAACAGCTGAAGGAGTATAAAGATAAAAATATGAAAGAGAATGCTTGGGAAGAGATAGCTTCCTGTCTGAATGTAACTGGTGAGTAGAAACAGCCTTCCTACCTATTTGATAATATTGTGATATGTGTGCATTGCAGTTAGTGAATGTCAAACACGTTGGTTAAGGTTGAGACAATACTATGCCAAAGAAAGACAAAAAAGGGAACAAGAGTGTAGAAGCGGCTCAAAGGGAGGCTCACAGCGAAAGGGTTGGGAGCTATTTGAGTTACTTAGTTTTTTAGAAGATCACATTACAAAAAGAAAGTAAGTTGGATATTAGTTCTTCATAGTTGTAACTGGTAAAAAAATATATAATTTTTTTTGCTCAAAAATTATTTCTTGAGCAAATGAGTTCTTATACCTGTACCTATCTATAACTAAAACATTTTTGTCATGGCCATTATTTATTTAAAACTTCAATGTTCTTGTTGTAGAACTTTTGGCAATATTCACCACTTGGGAAGTATATCAGATGATAATAGGGATTCACTGAGAGATTCACAAGAAATGGATGGTACTGAAAGTAGCAGTGTTGAAATAGTGAGTCATACTGAAAGTAGCAGTGGTACAACAGTGGGTGGTACTGAAAGTAGCAGTGGTACACCAGTATCTTGTTACTTTGGAAAAAGAAAAAAAATTAAAGTGGACCCCATAGAATCAGCTTTTAGCAGAATGAATTCTACAATTCAAAGTATGGCTGACAAGTTAACTTCTGAGTCAACACCTACAGTTGTAGCTGAAGATGACAATGACCTTGTTGGGAAGCTTGTAGCAGCAGAATTGAAGAAAGCAACAAGGGAAAGAAATGAAGAAATTAAAAGGAAAATATTTGAAATTATTTATAAGAAATAATTATTTTGATTTAATACTGAAGAATTAGATTTCATTTTGTATGCTTTCAGATGTATTCATTTTCAAATAAAATTCATCAGCAATTATCTGAACATTTTATTTATTCATGCATTAGAAAATATAAAAAAATATGATTAAAACATTTCCTCACATGAATTTTTTGATGTAAAGTTTCATGGACCATGGCGTCCTCTTTGAACATATTCATATTGCCAAGGAATTGATCCTGGAGGAGTGCAAAAATATTGGGCAAGAAGATCTCTCATAGCATAGCATAGGTGGCCAGGTAGCCGTGCGGACAGAGTGTCTATATTCTAATTCGCATTCGCTTGCCGGTCGTGGGTTCGATCCCTGTCGACTGCAGAAATTTTTCTGATGGCCCAAGAAAGTGTTTGGGATCACACGTTAAAAGGTAAGGCCCCCGTCATTCCTTGCTCGCACAAGACTTTCGAAGACTTTTGAGGGTTGCTCGTAAGGGGGCAACCGAATGACGGATAGAACAAATTTTAGAACAAATTTTAGAACAAATATGCTGCTTGAGTTGCTCTATGAGCTCCATTACAAATAGATCCTAAAACATGCTGGCCTGATTGCCTCCATTCTCCAGGCAAAATTTCCCCAAATTCATTCTCTATGTCAACAAATTTTGGTGGGCAGTACATTCTAGTTTCAGAGGGCAAAGTATCATTCCTCACCATTAAAAAATTATGGAGACATAATGATGCCAAATAGGCCTTCGGAATACTCTCCACCTGGCTACAAGTATCCCAAATGAGTTTTCTATCACTCTTCTTGCCCTAGACAGCCTATAGTTGAAAATTGTTTTCATGTCATCTAAATGTCTACCTGGATATGGTCTCATTACTTGTAGGGACATTTGAAAAGCCTCATCACCTACAAAGTAACAAGCTGTCCTCAAATTAGAACCAGGTAAACATGCAGTTCCTTCTGGCAACTTCAAATATTTCTCCTTGAGAGCCCTTCCAAAAGAAGATCTGGAAAGAACACCACCATCACTTTCACTGCCATAGGCTCCAACATCACACAATGTAAATTTATATTTGTCATCACAAGCAGCCATCAGAACTACACTAAATGTTTTTTTATAATTAAAAAATATGGAACCAGAATTTGGAGGAGCTTGGATCACAATGTGCTTTCCATCCAAGGCTCCTACACAGTTTGGTAAATTCCAGTTATGCAAAAACCCTAGGCAGATGTTTCTCCATTCATCGGAAGTTGGCCCTTCTAAATACAATGGTTTGAGTACTTTTATAATAACTTCACAAGTTTCATTGATAATTTGTCTCACTGTTGATTCACCCATCCTGTAAGCTAGGGCCATGGAAAACATGCTGTCTCCAGTGGCTAAATACCTGGAATAAAATCAACATCAGTTAAAAAAATTATGTTTATTTAGAATGACAAAGGAATCTAAATGTAATCTACATGTAATCTTACCTTAGAGTGACTATAAGACCACAGTTGAGAGAATATATACCAGTTAACTCACTCACCGAAATGCCGCCAAACGTGCCGCGGCTACCTTCCCCTTTCCCCGTTTTGATCGCAGCAGGTTGCAGCTGGCGAACGTCAGTCGGCTACGTACATAGTGAATCAAGTGAACGCAGCGATCGTGCTATATAGAGTGTCTCAAATAATAGCCTATTAGTGTGAATTAAAGCATAAGTATGTCTATAGCGTATTGCGTTGTTGATGGCTGCAGAAGTAGAATGGGTGGAGAATTATCATTTTTTAGATGTCCATTGGATGAGGACAGGCAAAAAAATACTTACATTATAAATACAATTAAAGGGGAAAGTTACCAAACTGCTGTTGAAATGTACTGCAAAATGGCAATTTTCGCAACTGATTTCGACATTGCATATTTTCTCGATCTTTCTATATATTCGGATTAATTATTCTCGATTATATGAAAAGTCTATCAGTTATACGAGACTATCTATTTCAATTGAAAAATATGTCAAGTTCATTTACTTCGGAAATTGATTTGCTTTCCGAATTTCATTCAAGTGACTATTTGGAAATAGAAATGGAATATCATTGTAACAATAGTTGCGTAGATCGCTGATAAAAACATATTCTGGCAAATTATTATACAGGATGAGCAATAAAGCATGTTTAGTTAAGAAATGTGCAGTGAATTTGAGCATGTCAAATCATGTTTTGTAGGTGTCAAGCTTGGAAAAATGTGTTGGGATTCATAGGTACACATAGATATGCAAATATAACATCAGAGCAGGGTCACAGCAGATTGAAAGTTTGCAGCTTACATTTCATTGAAAATTGTTTTGTGAATGAAGCACGAAATCGCCTCCAGAAGTTTGCCATTCCTTCTTTACTACTGGGTCCTAGTTCATTCACTCCTTCCAAAGGTTATCTTATTTATATAATATATATAATTGATAGATGTTACTATATATACTATATATAAAAATGTTTGTCTGTCTGTCTGTCTGTCTGTCTGTCTGTCTGTCTGTCTGTCTGTCTGTCTGTCTGTCTGTCTGTCTGTCTGTCTGTCTATCTGTCTGTCTGTCTGTCTGTCTGTCCTCGATAAAATCGTAAACGATAATTTTTTTATGTCTTTCTCGTTATAGTTCAGGGGTGGTTTACAAACATTTTTGTTGCAAGGTTCAATGAGTTAGCTGGACAAGATTCAATAGGTAGGAAACTGAGAAATGAATTCTACAAGCAATCATTCCATCATCCATGTGAGAACTTTCCATATGATTATTTCTTTTCATTATATACAAGATTGAGGATTTATTATACCCTAAAATTCTTGAATCATGAAATAAAAACAGGTAAAATCAACAAGGCGAATCCGAAAATAAGTATATTAAAACATTTATGATTTTTTCAAATTTTTATATTTATAAAGATAATAATAGATGTTTTTTTTTTCATATATGATCATTCCCTCCCTGCATTCTTCTCAATATAATAAACAATCATAATTCAATTATTATTCAAGTTGAAATCAAGTACAACTATCAGCAATCAAACATCTGGAAGATCCCTGGTAAAATTCTACGCGCAGATCGCACGTTGTCGAGGTCCGATTGCCCCTGGTATTGTACCGATTTTTTGTCGCCGCCACTAATGAGGCGCATCGCTTCTGAACTCGAACATCAAAGGGAATTCGGAGAGTGACCCAACTGGTATATGTAATATTCTCTCAACTGTGATAAGACGCTGTTCTGGGCAAATGGAAGCTCTAATACTATTTTTTTGAAGAAATTTGGAAGTCATGTTGAGTAGGTTGTTTAAAGTCGGCATGTCCATCCTTGTGTACCGAAAAAAAAGTTGAGGGTCTTGCTTCAACTCTTCAAAAAGAGTTCGAAAATGTCCCAGTTCTTCTCGTCTACAGTTGATGGGATGCACCCACCATCTTCTGTTGATCCATCGATGTTTTCTTATTTTCAATGCATATAATAAAGCACCACTCATGACCTGCACAGTTCCTAAGAAAAGCAGTAACCTATTTCTATTCATGATGATAATAAACTCCTATAATCAGCGTTGGGATTTTGGGACTATGGCTTTGTACTGAATCGCCGAACCAAAATGTACCAGATTGTACTATATTTGGCGGGAAATTGAAAAGTTTGAATTTAATGAGCGGTTATTTTCTGTAAATACCTAGTTTTAAACTGATTGAATTAAAACACAATTATGAGAACAAATTATTTTTATTAAGAGAAAAATAAATAAAAAATGAAAGTAAAATCAGAAATAAAAACAGGAGAGATTGAACTAATAACAATACAAACGAAAATATAAACTCTGAGTTCAATATGGATAACCATAAGAAAATAAGGATACTATGACGCAGAAAAATAAATAGAAGAGAACATATTTTCAACAAAAAAAAAAACAAATAAAGTATATAAATATCATAAAATAAAAACTCAACTAAACAACAATAAACTCTTGTTAGGAACTGTAAAAAAAAGTGAAACACTGACACATGGCTTGAAATCACGATTTGAAATCAATAAGTAAAATCATTTTCATCATCCGATAATGTTGGGGTTTTGAGATTCAGTGCAAGCAAATGATCTGAAGGCACAAAATTGAAACACTTAGAGCTGCCTACCAAACTTTTTGTATGCATTAAAGCATCACATGTTGTTGTATTCAGCCTATTTCGATTTTTCGTTTTTATCAGATTTATCTGTGAAAAAATCCTTTCTGCTGATGCAGATGAGTGTGGCAAAGCAAAAATACCTTGAACAAATTCAGTCAAATTTGGATACATATACTCTCCTAAACAATTTTGTGTTTCAAAAACAATATTCCAAAACTCCTCAATGGGCTTATCAGCATGTGTTGATAAGATTTGGTTCTGTGCTAAATTTCTCCACTCAGTACAGTAGATATATATTGAGAGAATCATTACCGGCATCACGGCATCAGGCAACCAATCACAGCGCTCGATATATATTGAGAGAATCATTACCGGCATCACGGCATCAGGCAGCCAATCACAGCATTTCATTCAATTAATCATTAAGTACGTGAAAATACGAGAATGAGTTATATAATTCATTTAAGACTAATCACTCTTCAATATTCCGCGGGATATCTGTGCTATATCATTTCATCACTATCAATAACAGCCAGGACCGACAAACCCAGTCAGCGCATCCTTTCATTCAAATATGTCGAACAACACTCTACTCTAGGCAATAATTTGCCAAGAACTTCCAAAAGCTAAAAAATCACAATACCTACCTTCTTTCCCTAGCACGATGTTCTTCGAATATTATAGGGATTACTTTTGTACGCCCCAAGAAAAAAATCTTCAATATTGCATCTACCTATTCAACTTTTCATAAGAAAGCAGAAATATTTATTCTTTCCACAAATAACTAACGCGAAGGCTTTTCATGAGACGTTCATGACGTTCATTGAAATAATTATTTTTCAACAGATGGCTTAAAGTGGGTTAATATTTTCAAATAGGATTTAATTCG